TTAGATTTAGTGACTGGGGCCTGCGAATTAGACTCACTAAAGACAGGTGAACAGCAGAAGAGGGCTTATTGGCATGCACACGGGACCAATCAAAGTGGCTGGCTTTTGACTATGTTGAAGTTAGAGGTGCATGTGCCTCACCCAGCAGGGGAAATGGGAGAGGGGGCAGAAAGGCGTCTATGGCAGGACACACAGATGGGCTCTGAGAACAAGTGGGAGCTGAGGAAGTTTGTGGTGGTGTTTGTGCCTACAGGTGTGTGTGCCATTTCAGTGTCTTCTGGAGGAGGGACTTTGGGGGTTCACTGAGCTCCCCACTGGGAGGAGGACTGCCCTGGAGAGGGAATTTCTGGAGCTTGTTTTCCAGAGGTTGCTGTTTTTTTTTGTTGTTGTTGTTTGTTTGTTTTTTAATCAGATAGGGGAGGCTCTGAGTAGGCTGCTTTTTCACATCTGGCAAATGTCAAACATCTTTGACTTAAAATAATCTTCATACCAACTCTGGATCCAAGTGGGTCCCCACACCAACATCACATAGGTCACACTGGCAGCTACTTGAGAGACGGTGACAGTGAGGGGTCCTAACAGAGCCTCTCATGCCCTCTCCTGGCCCACACGGGGCTCAGCCTTCGCTAGTGAAGGGGACGGAGGTTGACAAAGAGCCTTCTGGCCTTCAAAGTGAGCAGAAATATTCAATCATTATTTAATGTAACAAATTTAATTTTCTAATGTCTCTATTTTTGCTGATGATAAACATAATACATATTTTTAAAAATCAGATACACACCAAAAAGCACAAAGAACTGTGTACACACAACAGATAGCCACCGTAAACCAATGTTTTGGTATTTTATTGCCTAAACACACAGGCAAGGTTTTAAAACTTGAAGTCTTCCTGAATGTATCATTGGGTTTCCTACTTCATGATGCCCTGTCAGCATGTTTCCACTTCGTTAAGTGCTCTGCAGAAGTGAAGTGGTCCCAGGCCACCGAGGTTCACCATATGGCTGTGCCACCGTCTGTCTACCCAGGATCCAGTTGTGGATGCTGACAGGAGAGCATCCTTCCTTCATCAGTAACTTCGTGCCGTGTGTTTCAGCAGATGTTTTCCGAGCGGCTTCTGGGTGCCAAGGGGGCTTTGGGGACGGAGGAGAATGACTCTAGAGCCCCAGTCACTGCCTGCATGAGGACAGACCCATGACAGGTGGCTGCAGGTAAGATGCTGGGCTAAAAACTCACCGAGAAGGGAGCCTGGGAGAAACAGGCTGGGCTAGGGAGCTGAGGCCTGGGCATCTGTCCACAGGCAGAAAAGGGACAGTCCCGAGGCTACTGTGCCTAAGAGATTGGGCAACCAGGTCCAAGAGATAAAAGCTTGTTAAACCTCGTCATTCACTTTCGAAATCACTTCCTGCCCCAGGAAACCCAGGGCAGCACTGGAGCCCAGCATATGCCTGGAGGCTGGTGACAGAGTTCGTGCTGGGCTGGCCCTGTTCTTCCCTGACCTGCCAGAGACATGTCTTCCCCGCATCCTGAGATCACAGGCCTTGGGGCACCTTTGTTCCGGAGCCATGGGCTCAGTCACTAACCACCCTAAGCCCGCCCTGCCTCCCAGCTCTGCTCTGGCCCAGGGAGCCTGCAGTCCAGTTGATCTGGCCAGCTGGACTGTGACCTGGTAGAGGGATGTTGCGGGGCAGGTGTCCTCCTGCCTGTTGCGGGGCAGGTGTCCTCCTGCTGATCTGACAGGGATGAGCCTTTTCTGTAGGAATCAGGGCGCGGCCACCCCATGCTATGCCTTCTGCGCATTCAGGGACAGAAGCCCCTTTCTCCAAGCTTGGCTGTCACCCTGCCTGGGAGCTGGCCCTCTTGGAAGCGCGGCGTGAGCCCCTTCAGCACCAGAGTTTTATAAACTCTGAGCGGGGCAGATGTGTCAGGCTGCCCCATCAGTACGCTGTTGGCTCTAGAGGAAGGCCTGACCCTTCATCTCCACGGGGGCGGGGGCAGCAGGGTGTGTGCTGGCCAGGTTCTGCAGTCCTGGGGTCAGATCCAGCCCAAGTACCTGCTCTGACTCTCCATGTCCTCATGCGTCTGCAGGATGGGCTCAGTGACCCCCACCTGCCCAGACTCAAAGGGAGGGAGGCACTGCTTGTCGAGGGCCCCTTGGTTAAGTGCAGTGACCAGCCAGGTGCCGTCCCCATCCTCTATTGCTCCTGGGAAGGCAGGACTTGTGCTGAAACCCCCAGAGCCCCTCTCCTGGGGGTGGGCTCCACTCCTCTGCTGCTCTCAGGTCCGAGACACTATCTCTCACCTATGCCCAGCGGCTTCCTCTGCAGGCAAACAGGAAGTCTCTACCTGGAGGCGGCAGGAAGGGCTGCCTTGCAGGGCGGTCTGTGCAGCGGCTGTGCGTGCCCTCTGGGCTCTGGGGAGGGGCCGTGGGCCAGGCAGGGAACCCCAGCAGTGGGGTGCATGAGATCAAAGCTGAATCAGGTGGGGCTTTTGGAGGGAGCTGCACTCCCCGCTCACCGGCACACAGGGTCCCCCAGCCTGGCTCCTTGCTGTCTTGGGAAGGAGATAAAATTCCAGGAGCTGAAACAGAGCTTGTGGCTGCAGGAGCCTGGGGGTCTGTTCTTGAAGTTGCTGAAAGCTGGAAGCACCCCAGCCTGGAGCCCCCAGACACACATGGTCACATCCAAGGCCATGGCCTGGAGGGGAAGGAGAGGCAGATGCCCTCCCCATGAGCGGGTCAGGATGTGGTCAGGGGAGGGGACGAGACATTCACTCACCTTGTGCTCGTAGTTAAAGAGCAGGTAGACTGTCCAGCCCTGGGAGCCAGGACCACGGGGCTGGTGGAGCGCCTGGGGTGGGGGCTGGGAGGCTGGCCGTCATCATGCATGGTCACCTAAATCCTGCTCCCATCGCACTCGCCCTACACCCCACTGTCCTAAACTCCCCATAGCCTCCCAGGGGTCTCTGTGTATCTCCCCAGACTTCGCAGTGGCGTTCGATAGAGCTGACCACTTCTTCTTCCAGACTCACCTCCTCTGTTGTCCGGTGACGACACTGTACTCATGGTTCTCTCACCTCCTCAACAGAGCAGCCTTCCCTGGGCACCCCCAGCCCCAGCGTGGACCTCCTTCTGATGCTTTCCCCAGCCTGCCCCGCCTCCCAGTCCCAGCATGGCTTTCAGTGGCCTGCCGAGTGTCTCACAGGTGTTGCAAACCTAGTACTTAAAACAACCAAACTCTTGATTTTCTCCTCTAGGTCTCATGTTTCCCATTCTGTCCCATTCCAGCAGATTCCATCACCTAGGTTGAGTCACTCCAGCCAGAAGTGGCCTCTGCTCCCCTGTCCTTTGCACCTCACATGTCCTAAAGTAACAGATCCTGCCAAGCGCCCCAGTGTGTACCCCAAGTCTTCTGTCTCCCTTCCTCTGCCATGTCCTGCTTCCCCTGGTCATCAAGCCCCCGACCGTCCTCCCTATTCAGCCAGCATCCTTAAACACTGGACAGAAATACTCCCAGACCTGTCATTGCCCTGCTGACCACTGGGGATCCCTTGGGACCTGGCTCTGCCACTCCGGCCCCATCTTCTTCGGGCTCCCAGGGTGGCTGCTAAGGCCACACTGGCCCTCCTGCTTCCTCTGGCCTCAGGGAGCCTTTCTGGCCTTGGGTGGGTACGTAGCCTGGAGGCCCCTCTGCCTGTATTGCCTGCTCCACACTCTTCTCATGTGGCCACTCTGAGCCTGAGCCCATCCGGGTGGGCTCCCCTGTCCTCCTTGTCCTCCCTGCTCCTTCCTTCCCCGGCCTTGGCGCGGTTCAAAATCTGGCATTGGTTCATCTGTTGCTGTCTAGTCACTGTTTGCCAGTGGACTGGATGCTCCCTGAGGGCTGGGGCCTCATGTGGGGACTGGAGAGCCAAGTCCTCGTTGCGAGCCTGCATGTGGGGGGCCCGCATGTGGAGGGCTTGCATGTAGGCCTCAGTGACTAGCTTTCTGGCATACACGCAGGGTACATTGTAAGCACCCAAATACAGCAGGAGCTGTAGGTGGGGGGTGAACCCGGTTTGGTCCTGTGGACCGTGAGGCGCCTCTAACATTTCCAGCTCAGGAGAACAGTGGTGGCCCGTCTGCATGGAGCAGCGAGGCCACATCCTGGTGGGAGGAAGAGGTCACATGGGCCCGGGAGGCGGAGAATGCCAGGCTCCGGGTGCTCAGCATGTGGAGAAGGGCCCATGGCCCCGCCCCGGGTGTAGCTGGTGGAGGCTGGAGCTGTGGTGGGAGGGGCCTCACGGCAGTCACATATGAAGTTGGCGGGCCTCTGGACCCTCAGCAGACATGGCGGTGGTGGGAGAGACTGGAGTGGTGGACTGTGCGGGGGGACATGGGACAGCGGTGCCCCAGCCCGTCACATATGTAGGGGCAGACATGTAGGGGCACGGACACCAGTCGGTCCGTGTGCTCAGAGGCTCTGGGTGCGTACCCAGCTGTGTGACTCCCTGCCAAGCAGCCCTGGGCAGTGGCTTCTCCTTCCTGAGCCCGTATCCCGACAGGTGTGATGGGCACAGTAATGCTTCTTAAGGAGGTGAGAGGAGTGGCTGAGTCACTGCTAGGAGACATTGTGACATGGGACAATTGTATTAGGCCATGAAAATCTGAATGTTGATTGTTAAAAACAAAAGCACAGTTGCCCGACCCAGGCCTCCTGTGTACCACTGGGGCCTGAGAACCTGGTGACAGAACCACAGGCAGGAAGGGGTGGGGTCTGTCACAGCACAGGGCCTTCACCTTCCCCTTTCTGTCCCCGGCCCTGGGGGGAGAAGGGTGGCGGATTCTCTCTGGCCAGAGTTGGAGCATGGGGAAGGGCCCATTGGGCACTGGCCTGGGCATGGGGGCTCCCCTCTGTGGGCAGGAAGTGCGAGGCACAGAGCAGCTGGGGAGCCGAGCAGACTGGTAAGAGTCTCTGGGGGCAAGGGGAGCGGAAGTCGGAAGCTGCAGCCGCCACGCTCACCACTCGTGGGCGGACACTCTGCAGCAGAGACTGCTTCCTGGGAGCCAGGCACTGGCCCTTTCCTGGGTCCTTTAGAGGTGAGCAAGGTGGGCCTGGGGCCGGGGGTTGGGCCCGGCGGGGACTAGGGGAGCGGGTGTGCGAGAGTCATGTGTGCCCCAGTGGCAGGGGCAGGTGGGTAGGAAGGCAGGAGCTGTGGGCCCTGCTGTGTACCTGCTGAATGCCTGGCGGCCGGCACCGCAACCCTTCCCCTTCCTTCTCTTCATCCCCCTGGTTCCTCAACCCACCTGCCCCACCCGCCCTTTCTCTGCTTCCTCCTCGGCTTCCCACTAGCCCCTGGGGTCTGCAGGAGAGAAGGTGGGGGGCTGAGGAGGCCTCAGGGTGTGTGGTGACTGCTTTGGCTGGGTGCCCATAGGTGCACTTGGGGCCAGAAGCTTCAGGTGAGCCTTGATCCTCAACCTGGACCCCAGGCAGGCAAGGGTTTGGGTGCAGTCACTGCAGGAGGGCCAGCTCGGCCATTAGGGGGCTCCTTGTTTGGACCTAATGGGTTGGCCGCACCCTCTAGTTCTTAGCACCCCGGGGGCCCCTCCACTCTCTGCACATTTGCATGCTGCTCCTTGTGTGGGCAGGAAGTGGGCCTGTCCTGAGCATGTCTTGTGGTGCTTGGGCCCAGGTTCTGGCAGGGCGTCAGTCCTGAGGCTCCAATGGACGACCCCACCCTCAGCTCCTGCCCGCAGGGGAGACACCCCTGAGATGGCTCCCACGGCTGCCCAGGACTGGCTGGGTCACTTCCTCAGTCCCCATAGGCCGGGAGCCTCCGCTTTTTCCATAGGAAAGAGAAGTTCTGGGCAGGAAGAGGGAATGCCTGAGAATATGGAAGCTCACAGGAGAGAGGGGATGCAGGCGGCTTGGAGGGGCCCGAGAGCAGGGATCTGCTGGCCGCTGGTGCTGTCTGCCAGGTGGCTTGTTGGTCGGTGGTTTTCACTTCTCTGAGCGGCCCTGCAGAGCTGTGAGTTGAAGGGGCAGGACACAGTGAGGCCCAGGCCCAGCTCTAGGCACAGACCCGTCCCCCGTTACAGCAGGCCCAAGGACCAGCTGGCTGTGGCCCACTCCCTTGGTTTACAGAGAAGGGACCAGCTGAAGCTTCTGACCAGAGTCAAAGGCTGGTCAGCTGTAGTTAGGCTTTGAGTCCAGTCTGTAATCCTCAGCTATGGGGGCACAGGACACCCAGGCTGTCACCTGTCCCTCTGGGCAGGCTATCTCCAGCCTCCTGCAGGGAGGGAGCAGAGTGGGGGGAAGCAAATCCAAGGCTGCCTCCCTCCCCCAGATCAAAGAGAAGCTTCTTTGGAGCCCAGGCAGGGTGTGGCTGGCCTCGTCCTCCTGTCCCCCAGGCCAGTCTCTGTGTCCTCTACCCAGCCAGCATGTTCCTTCTCCATGAAAGACCCTGGCAGTGTGCTCAGCCTTCTCCCTGCACCTCAGTGCCCACCCTTCACCATCTCCCTGAGATCAGGCATTTTCTTGGATTCCAAAGAGACATCCTACTTCTCCCAGCACTTACCCTGCGCTCTGCACCCTCATGCTGTGAGAGAGGTGAAGACCTAACGACCTAGACCTAACGAGCCCACCTGGGAGGCCTGTGGCAGGCTCTCCCTCCTTTGTTATAAGGTTGCTATGATCTTGAGATTTCACTAAACACCAGAGTGGGAAAAAGTAAACCGAGAAAATTCTAGGTGCAGGAGACTGGGCCCACCTCTGCCTGAGAGATGCTATCCTACCTCCTGGAAATAGGCTGGTCACTCCTTGATCCCTGCTCCTTGACTCTTGCTGGGTCAAGCTGCCCTCACCCAGGTGACTGGTAGGACAGCCTTGATGGCTATAAGCGACCTCACTGTTCAGATCAGGTCCATCCCTCCATTCGGGAGGAGAAATTTAAAAGAAAAATGAGAGAAAAGTAGGGGGCGGGGAAGTAGATTGAGATAGATATAGATAGATAGATAGATGATTGAAAATAGATAATAGATACATAGATGATTGATAGGTGACAGATGATCGATAGGTGATAGATGATATAGATAGATGATAGATAATAGATGACTGATAGATGATAAATGATAGATAGTTGATATAGCTAGATGATATAGATAGGTGATAGATGATTGATAGACGATTGAAAGATAGATGATAGATTGATAGATAATAGATGATTGAGAAATTGATAGATAGATGATAGATAAATAGATAATAGAGGATAGACAGACAAACATTTCTTAAACCTGCCATTGCAAGGTTTCTTCCATAGGTGGAGGGCGCAGATGAGATGAACCTGTTCTCTGCTCCCCTCTCTGTCCAGCTGCCCCTGGGAGTGGGGCCCCACATGAGCATTTTGCCTGCTAGCCTGGCAGGAGCACCAGGGGACAGCTCTGCCCTCAGGTCTTGAGGTTGCAATGTTGCTGAATCTTCTCCGAAGTGGCAGGCTCCCAGGCCTCCAGGGAGGTGGTTGAGGCTGTGTCCTTCAGTCCCACCCACCCCGCCAGACCTTCCTTCCTCTTGCTCACAAACACCTGTGAGCCCTGAGGGTCCTCCTCTGCACAGTGGGGACAGATGGGTGTGAGGGGCTGACCAGAGGGAGTTCGTGACCTTAGAGGGAGGACTGACATGGGAGCTGCTGACCTGAGTTCCCAGCCCGGCCTCTGCCTCCCTGCTGTGCTCTTGCTTTCGGAAACTCTGAGCCTTGGCGTCTGGATTAGGAGATGTCACCGCTTGTCTTCTTTGTGCTGTGGCTGACTGCATGTCCCTTGCACCTCCTGTGGTGCTGGGTTGGCAGCGGAAACTCAGGGTGCCCACTTTCAGACAGTGATTTTTATTGCTGTGTGTCCCAAGTACTGGAAAGGGCTGGTGGGTGTCCCGTATGTTTACTTGCTAAACATGGTGGCCCTGCCGTGGCGTGGCCTGGCCATCTAGAGCCAGGACCCATCCCACTAGGCTCCGTGACCCCGCGTCTCACAGCCACACCAAGCTTCATGTCTCCAATCTGCTTGAACTGTAGGTGGGAGTGGGTGTAACATCGTGGGTCACCAGTGTGGCTCGGTCACCCAGCATGTCCCCAGTGAGACAGTGAGTGTGGCGAGAACCTGCTCGGTGGTGCTTACATTCTGGGGGAGGAGGCCTGCTAAAACTGCACGTTGGGCAAGTGGTCTGGGAGTGATGGGGTGTGGCCAGGCTGTTTCCTTGGTTCAGAGTTGGCTGTCTGCTCATCTGTCTGCTTCTCCTGCCATGGCCTTGACTCCCATCCCAGGCCTAGAGCTCGTTTCTCTTTCGTTGCCTTGGTTCTCTCAGGGAGCATGTCCAGCGTGTAGCACAGAGCTAACAAACTCTGTGTGCCTTTTCACGCCTGTGAGTACATACACATTTGCAAAGATAGGCCCATGATGCCTCCTTACAAACTTGTTGATGCCCTGCCCCTGCCCCACCCAGCACTCATCCCATTACTGCTTACTGGCATCGGAACTTTTCCTGTCATGTGAGCTCACTAGTGACTACAGGGTCTGATGTCGTCTCGTGCCCACTGGGGTGTTCTGAAAGCCAGATGCGTTCAGATGCAGCTGCGGGGGTGGAGGGGCAAGGGCCCACCCAGGAGAGCCGAAGGGGCAGCTCAGTCAGGGTCTGGAAAGGCACTGGGATGCCCATGTTCAGATCCGAGTGCTTCCCTGTCCCTGTGCCCCCTTCCCCAAGTGGTGCTGCCCTCCCAGTATCTCGGGGTTCTGCTGGCTGGTTGCTGAGGGAGGCTGCAGTGGGGGCCACCTGCCTCTTCCCTCTTGGTCGTTCTTTATCTGAGGGGTCTGGAGACGGGGCTAGAGGGGCTGCTAGGCACAGACCACAGTCCTGAGCTCACTGTCTGGCCCCAGGAACAGGACCACAGTAGGTCTCTGGCTCTAAGAGCATGGAGAGTATTGACTGGACAGTGGCTTGGGGACCTGGGTAGCTGGCCAGGCCAGTAGGTGGCACAGGGAGCAAACCATGTGACCCCTTGCCTGCAGCCTGGGGAAGGGGTTCATGGAGAGGCTGAGCTAGGACTGGGAGACCCCCAGGGGACAGGGAAAAACAAAGTGGGTTCTGATCGCTTTGACTCAGAGCGGGAATACACGGCTGAGAGCCCACGGCTGCACCCCGAAGACTGGCTGGTGCCTCCCAGGGCCGAAACTTGAGGATAGAGGCACTACCCAGTGGCTTCAGATCCCTGCTGGAAGTGAGGAGCATAGGGCTGGGACAAAGGCACAGGTGGAAGCCCAGGAAGGGGCCCTGTGTTTGCGGAACTTTTTGGAGGATGGTCTCAAGAGGAAGGGAAACAGACTCAGGGCGGTCCTGGCCCATATTCCCAGGCTGAGCCTTCTGGGGCCCAAACTCCAGGCCCCTGCAGACCTTGGTTTTCCATCTCCAGTGCCCCTCTTATAGGTGTGTCAGGTGGGCTGTGGACAAGTGAGAGACCCATGGGTACAGGTTGGGAGCATGTGTATGCTCACACCTTTGTCCACAAGTTTCAGCATGGCTTACGGGCACACAGTTTCTAAGTAAGACATGTGAGTGAAGGGACCGAGGTGATCAAGTGACGAGGCCTGGGGTGTGTTTGGTGCTGCAGCTGTGTGCCACGGGGCCCATGTGCTTAACCCGCACCTTCTGAGCACCCGTTCTAGGAGCGACAGTCCAGTTACGGTTTCAGTGTCCAGGGGATCAAAGCAGCTACTTGTGTGAAGGAGCAGCCCCACTCCCACGGTCCCGTTGAGCCAGTGCTGGTGTGGCAGGAACACAGCAGCTCCGGGCAGGTGTGGTGCAGCCCCAGGCGGGCGGGTATGGCTGTGTGTCCCCAGTCTCCACCCAAGAGCCCAGGCCCAGCTTAGAGGTCAGTGGGTACCCTGACCTGCTTCCACCTGGGCCAAGCTGCAGGCTATGGACAAGGATGGGCTGGTCAGCCTTGTGAAGGACGCAGGCCCCAAAGACAGGAGCCTCAGGCTGTGGACAATGGCAGGCCGTGGCCGTCTCTCCTGGGGGCCTGCTTCTGCCATGAGACTGTTCTCCTTGACTCTGGTCTGTCTGGGTGCCACCTGCTCTGCATTCGGCTGTTTCTGGCTGATCTCGCACTGTTTTGGGGCTGCAGCTGCCTCCGCCCTCTAGTCCAAAGTCCTGCATGGCCTCATTTGGCTGGTCTGGCCTTTTCAGTAAGCTGCTTGGGCCACTGTCAGCCCACAGATGGGTGTCTTTATGTCTTTAGAATGAACTGTTAAGACAGTGGGGTCAGAAGGCAGATGTGGTGTACCCCTCCAGTGGGGCTATGGACATGGCAGGGACTTGCAGAGTCGGCGGACACGTTAGCACGAGCTCCCTGGGCTGGCGGCCCCTTGCTGACATGCATTTGCTTTGGGCACTTCCAGGGCACAGTGGTTCCCAGCGCACCCTGGCCGGTTCCCACTAAGCCACACAATGGGATTGTGACGCGGACACTCCCGGGCACCCACACCCGTGCACTCTGTGAATGATGGGTGACAACAGTCTCTCTGAGCATCCCAGCCCCGTGGAATTTCTCAATGTCCGTTTGGGAGACAACCTGCAGCCCCACCCAAGAGTGCACCCGAGGGGAGTGTGCAGCCATCCGGACCCGCCTGAACTTCTCCGGGGACAGACCTGGGCGTCTGACCCCCCTGAGTCTGTGAGGCGAGACACTCCCCCTGGGGGCTGCGGCGCGGAGCCCACAGGCCTGGGGGATGGCTTTTCCCAGCGGAACCCAGACCGGAGCCGGAGCTCGTCCGCCCAGGTGGTGTTCTGGGCCGGCATCCTACAGGCGCAGATGTGCGTCCTAGACCTGGAGGAGGAGCTGGAGAAGACAGAGGGGCTCCGGGCTGAGCTGCGGTCCTGCCTCCCCATGGCCCCTGCTGCCCTCCCTTCCTTCTCCTCCAGCCGGGGGAGCCCCTTGGACACGGGCCTTCTCCCCAGCCCACCTGCAGAGGAGGCCTTGGGGGAGGACAGCAGCGGGCCTGAGGGTGAGGGCCAGGACGCTGTGTGGCCGGCCGAGGGGACCCCAGGCTCCTCCCTGGAGTGGGGTGCTGAGGACGAGAGAGTGTTCTTCGACAACCCCCTCTTCCTGGAGAGCTCCCACTCGGACTCTGCTTCTGTGCCTCACTTCTCCTGGGAGCTCCCAGACACCTGTACTGATGAGAGGCCTGAGAGTCCACAGACCCTGCAGCCTCCACTCCTGAGAGATGGGGTGCCGTGGGGGCTGGGAGATGAGCCAGACTCGGGGGACGTTTCAGCTGGTTCCAGTGGGTGCACCACCCCCTCATTTCCTGTACCCATCTACCAGCCACACTGCTGGGCCCCAGTGGCCACCACCGACAGGCATCCCTCTGCACCTTGCGGCCGGGGAGATAGTGAGGTAAGCCGGGCCCTGGGAACCGACCTGGAGCTGTCCTTGGAGACATGAGAGGATGGGCCTTGCTCTGCAGTCACCGGCCCAGGACACCCTTCAGAGGCCAGGGCCCGTGGGAGCCCTGGAATAAGGTGGCAGGAGAGCAGGACCGCTGGGGCTCCAGGGTTGTGGGAGAGTTCGCGGATGCCATGACCCTGGTTGAACACGGTAGCCGTGATATTCACGGTGTCTCTGTCCCGCAGCTTGAGGGTGGTGTCTGGACACACTGGGGAATAGCCAGCTCCTCCCCTTGTAACCTGTTCTAGGTTCTCCTCAGATCCCAACCCTTCATCTCCTAACTGGAGCTGCTGGGTCAGCACCAAGGGTGGCCCTGCCCCTGACGGGAGATGCCTGTCAGTCTCGTCCTTTTTTCTTGGAGATTTCAGCACTTGTTATTTTCATCTCACCACCTCTCATTCCCTGTCCCGCCCATGGCAGCAGACTGGGCCCACAGGACAATGGCAGAGGTCCTTGATATCAAGTAGGACGAGTTATGGGGACGAGTGTGGGAGGCACCAAGGAGCAGGGTTTTTCCAGGGTGGCCTCTGTGGAGAGATAAGGAAGCTCAGGATGGCTGGGCAGGGCTGGGATTGTCTTGTCTCCTGGCAGTGCATACCTGTCACTCGGCGATCAGAGAGGCTGCCGAGTGTCCGGGGTCCCGGTGTGGGTGGGGCCTTGTGGCTGTGGAGCCCTTGGGGACCTGGTCCACCTGGGTGGCCAACTCCGCTCAGTGCCTGGGGTTGTTGCCTTCCCTGTAACAGCCTTTCCTTGAGTTGGTGCTGCAGGAGGCAGTTCACCTGGGGGACGCCGGAGGGAGGATGACAGGCAGAGAAGACTGGAACTCAGTGGACAAGGACAGGGGGCCTGGAGGGCCTTGGTGTGGGAAAAGCCCTGGGGATAGTCCCCCAGGTTACCTCTCTCCACCCCTTTCCTCCTCTAGACTTCTCTGGCAGATAGTCTTGACCCTGAAGCATCCCTTGTGGACAAAGCATTGACCTGGGAAACAGGACATGTTGGATCTGACCCTAGCCCTGGCTCCCATCCAGTGCGACCTTGGGCAAGTCACTTCCCCTCTCCAGGCCTCATCTTCTCCACCTATAAAGAGAGACATGACCCCGTAATATCCAGGGCCCAGCCCCAGCCCCCTGGGATGTGGGTCTTCCCCTGTCCAGGACCCTCTTTTGAGCTCAGGGCTCAGGTTGGGTAGGAGAATGGCGGGATGTGGGGCTCTATACTCATAGTCATGCTCCTCGCCCCCGCCTGTACCCCCTTCACCTCTCAGGGCCTCCAGGGCTCACGGACACCCTGTGCCTCTCTCAGCAGGCTCTGCCCAGTGCCAAGGGCTGGCAGACAGGACGAGGTCCTTCCTGGCCTCAGGTGCCTCTCATCTCCCAGGACAGAAGTGAGATCCACTGTGGGGTCTGGGAAATTGGGTGGTGGGAGGCTTTGGCATCTGGAGTGGGATAGATATCACTCTTGGATCTATGGGCGTCATTAAGAGTCTCAGTGTCTGTCTTGGAGCTAGACTTGGGGTTAAATCCTGCCTCAGCCGCTGTGACACCATCAGGAACCTGGGTTTTAAATACTTGCTTCCTGGAGTGAGTGAGCAAATGTGTAGGAGACTCAGCACTTGGGTCTTAGTGGGTTAGTGAGTCCTGAGCCCTGGTCACCTTGGGGCTGGAGTCCTGGGAGCCTTCTGCTCTCTGCCTCTCTGTGTGGGAGGTCACGGCCTGAAGGAGGGACAGGACGTGCTGCCCAGTAAAGGAGGAGGCCCAAGGAGGGCGTCTGGGGGGAGGCATAGGGAGTCCTGGCTCTGCTAGGCCCCTGGGCCCTCGGCCTGTTGCTTGCGCCCTGCCAGCCTCACTTCATGCTCTTCCTTAGGTGACAGAGATGCTGAGCGTCCCCAGGACTCTGCTTCCTGCACCTCAGCCCCTGGCCCCTGGGAGTGCCCAGCCTCTTCATTAGAGCCAGGCAGCCCTGAATCTGTGAGCAGAGGCCCCAGTCCTAGGCCCAGCCCCGAGTCCTCCCGGGAAGGCAGCCCACAGCCCCAGGGCGGCCATTCCGGCAGCATCTTCCCTGAGTGGACAGGAGATGCTGCCCGTCCTTCACTCCTGGAGACATACGAGGCAGAGCCGAGTTCCCTGGAGAGAGAGGAGGCCGAGGAGGCCCTGGGGCCAGCAGAGGAGGTGAAGAGTGAGAGAGCCGGCCAGCCAGACGTGTCTGTGGCTGCTTCTGAAGGGTGAGTGTGGGACTAAGTGGCTCTGGCCCCTGCTCATGGATGCGTCTAGGGCCCCTGGTCTGGGAGCAGAGAAGTGCACGCTGGGAGTTTACACACTGCCATCACTTAAGCCAGAGTTATGTGTCCAGGCACCAGCAGGGTTTTGAGGAAGACAGGAGGCTTTGAAAGCACCAGAAAGCAAAGAGCAGACAGTCACACGTGGGGCAGAGTTTGAGTGTGCTGAAGCAGGGCCCCAAGAGACAGGTCCAAGGCTAGACAGTATCCAGGGAGGGAACTGACCAGGGCCATGTGCCCAGAGCTGGAGTCATACTAGGTGGCTATGGGTCTGGGAGGTCAGAGCTCGCGATGTGGGATCACACTTGCTCTGACTTTGAGGAGGCATCCAGGAAAAACTCACACTTAGACCTCAGGGGAAGCCGGGCACCAGGGGCTTTGAGACCCAGAGGACAAGTCGGGGCCCAGAGAAGGGTCCAGTGAGCCCCGAACTGTGGCTGAGTGGGAACAGGCCAAGTGAGAGACCATCCTCCTTCTGCCCGCTGGATGCTATGTGAAGATGGCCTCTGAGGTCTCTACATTGGAGGGAGATTTGTTCCCTGGTCAGTTAATGAAGGGTCATGTTGAGGCCAGGGGGAGGCAGTGACTGTTTAGGTCATGGGCTTCAGGGTTGACCCCACTTCCATCTCGGTGTCCCTGCGATGTGGCCGCAGAACCTGTCAGTGTCAGGATCGAAGAGCCATCCCCGTCGTTCATCTGAAAAACTGCTCCTGGAGGTGGATGTACAGAGGCTGGGTCACCAGATGGGTCTCCCAGCCTCTTAGCAGAGAGGGTTCATTGTCTCAAAATTAGAGTTAACTCAACCCAAGATAAAATAAGTAAACATACCTAAAGTGAGACCCGCACTTTTATAGTAAATCGTATACCACATATTCCGTAAGTTCATTGAATCTTGTATTTAACATGACGTAGGAAGTTTCATGTTCCCGGCATAAGCTTGCTGGTCCAGTGAGACACCCTTCTTTCATGCTGGACTTTCACGGCGAGACCATAAAGTTTTTTCTTATTTTTTGTAATAACAGCTTTATTGAGATAGAGTCATGTGCCCTACGATGCGCTCATGTAAAGCATCCAATCCCCTGCTGACTTGCATTTACCTAGTGTTTTCCCAAAGCCTTTCCACCTGGACACCGGTTTGGTAACGACGCTGACTAGGTCACTTTTGTAAAAGTGTTTCATGGCTTCGACAGCTGAATGTCCAAGTAGTTCTTTTTAGAGGGGGCAAGTGAGTCATTTAATTTCCTGTGCTTGGCTCTCCAGTGGACACACTCTCCCAGCTCCCCCAGTCTGTGGCTTTCCCTGTGATCCCTGGTCTCGCAGCACCACTTTTATGGACTTTATGAAGCATTTTTTGCAAGATTTGTGATTTCACTTCTCAACTGGTTTCCATTATGTTTGCCGTGCTTGTCAGGCGTGTATGAGCCTCAGGACGCAATGAGCAGGGACCAAAAAAGACACCGTCCCCGTCAGGCCAGAGATGGACGTGTTAAGCGCAGAGAGTGCCTTATCAGGGAGCGTTTCTCTGCTACAAATCCTGCTCCCTGCAGTCACTAACTGTGGCAGCTGGGTAATGAGCACCCAGACTGCCAGGCCACTGGTCCCGGGTCATGATGTTGCAGGGTCAGATAGAGATGGGGCATGACTTACGAGGTTCTCAGTGTCAGACTCTGTGGGGGCTGCCGGCCTGTGTCAATGCATAACGGGTCACCTGCCTGTCCCCCATGGTATAAAGAGAGACTGGAAACCACCTGAGCCCCAGCTGCTGTGACTCCTAAGGCCAGTCTAGCTTTCGGTTCCCCCGTCATGTGTGAGCGCAGCTTTCTTGGCTCCAGGTCTAACGGTGGAGGCTGGAGCTGGAGGGCAGCGGGGAGATAGGTACACTGAGGGCCCCTCCATGACTTGACCGAGAGCCCCTTTGTGTCCATCCAAGTGGGAGTCTGAGGGCTGACGGACTTTTCCAGGCTTCCTGAGAGCCCCACGCCCCACATGCCATCCCCAGAGGAGAGCCAGAGCCCGCAGGCTGGAGACAAGCTGGCTAATGGTGTGAGGACCCACCAGCTGGCCTGGGACCTGGCCTCCCGCCTCTACCGCCTGGAGGGTTTCCGGAAGTCTGAAGTGGCTGCCCACCTGCAGAAGAAGTAAGGGGCTCTGAGCCTGGGCGAGGCTCCAGGGTGAGGCCATGCAGGCTTGCTCCCCTGGCTGCCCTCCCTGTTGCTGTGCCCCCCAGCCCCCCTGCTGACCTCTGACTCCATCGCATCTGCCCTGGTGGCCCCTGTCTCCCGTACCCTTGCTGTGCCTACCTCTTCCTCTCAGTCACACTGGTGTCGCCCCTTCTCCACACTCTTGACCCAGCTTAGAGCTACTGGACTGGCCACTTTGCCCCTCTGCCTTGACTCCAGGTGTCTCTCCCACCCAGCAGACCAGACCCTGGCTGACCCTTGCCCTCTCTGTCCCGGGACCCACCTTTCAGGCTTCGGGATGTGTGCAGGCCCTGGGGTCCCCCAGCCTAGCCCCCCAGCCCAGACTCTGCCCCACTCCTCTCCACAGCAACGACTTCAGCAGGGCTGTGGCCCAGGAGTACCTTGCCTTCTTCCACTTTGGTGGCCAGAGTCTGGACCACGCCCTCCGGTACCGCCTGGGTCTCTGGGGAAGGAGGGTGGCTGGGGCCCGCTTTTGGCCTGGGCCTGTGGGCCTGCGGTCTGGGTGCGGCCCTGACTCTGGCCATCTCTCCAGGGGCTTCCTCCAGGCCCTGGTGCTCAGCGGGGAGACCCAGGAGCGGGAGCGCGTCCTGTACCAGTTCTCCAGGCGCTTCCATCACTGCAACCCTGGGCTCTTCCCCTCAGTGGGTAGGCGGGCAAGGGACTCCTGGTGCCGGGAGGGTGGCGCGACCTGCCCCTGGGCCTGCTCAGGACCTCCCTGGAGGAAGGCTGGCGGGGTGATTGGGGGCTGCGGAGGAACAGAAGCATTTGGGGGCCACCCAGCCCAGTGCGGGCAGAGGAAACTCACAGGGTTGGGTTCAGTGTTTTTTCTCCATCTACCTCCCTTGGGAGCAGACTCTGTGCACACCCTGACCTGCGCTACCATGCTCCTGAACACGGACCTACACGGACAGGTGAGCAGTTGGACGCCTGTGGCACCGGGGCTGGCCTGGGTCCAGGCTAGGGATGGCCCTGTGGATGGGAGAGTGGCCGGTGGGGGTGCCCATTGGCCTGGAGTGCCAGCTGTCCCCTCTCTCCATGGCCACAGAACATCGGGAGGAGCATGAGCTGCCAGGAATTCATAAGCAACCTGAACGGCCTGCAGGAGGGCGGGAACTTCCCCAAGGAGCTGCTGAAGGTGAAGCAGAAGGATGCCCAGGCGCCGGCTCCCTGCTAAGCATGGGCCTAGCTCTGCCCAGATGTCCTCAGAGGGCAGGGCCTGTTCGGTGAAGGGCACTGAAGTGTCAGCTTGGGTTTTTTAGCGCGTGCACGTTCTCAGCCCCCACCCTGGACCTTACTGACCCAGCTTGCTGGGCTGGGACCCCCGAAATGGTCATGATGCTTCCAAGTGATTCTAAGGCCTGCAAACTCTGAGAAGCGCTGAGTGAAGGAAGGCAAAGCTGCAAGAGGCGAAAGTCTGTGTGTGGTGGGGTGGGCAGGTGCTCCGGGTTTGAATCCTGGTCTTGGCAACTTACCCCTCAGAGACTCGAGTTCTTCCTGGGGCAGAGGCACTTACAGTGTTGGTGTCACCATGAGACACAGTGTCCGGGACAGACTCGGCACCGTCAGCAGTTGCAGCATTTGTCCTTATCTATTTAGTCAGCATTTGTGGAGTACTTACTAGGAGCCAGGCATGGCCGGGGGTATGAAAGCTGGCGGATGTACAAATGAGCACTCTGTTATATCATCTCAAAGCTCAGTGCTTCATTCATTCATTCACCCTGCATTTACCGCCCCATTGGTGAACCTTCCTGCTGTCAGCTCCCTCCGGGAAGGACAGCATGTGGGTGATTCATTTCCCTTTGAGAGAACCAGGTCAGGCCTCCCTGAGCTCAGGCAGGGATGAGGACTGCTGTCGTCACCCTGCGTCTCCAGCTCCCAGCACAGTACCTGGCATGTGGCAGTGTGTGACAAATTCTCCATAAGTTGTGTGTGTGCACAGATGTGGGGACAAGCTCCCCATAGCTTAAGGGAGGAGGGCAGCTGTGTTGGGGGTGGAAGACACAGGCTGCAGCAACCCCCTCAGATGGAGTTTGGGGCCTGTAGCCCAAGGCTCCCCTGCCCACTTGTGTGCTTCTATTCCAGGCCCTGTACTGGTCCATCCGGAGCGAGAAGCTGGAGTGGGCTGTGTGAGTGAGGGCCCCTCTCCTTTCATTCCTCTCTCCTCCCTCCTCTCCCTCCCCAGCCCACTTGAGAGGGGAGGTTCAGGGGCCTGGGCCATGGCTCCTCTGAGTGGGGCTGAGCTAGAAGCAGGGTCCTGGGCCAGTCTCAGAGAGACTCTAAGGGCCCAGGTGACACCTGGAGGAACCCAGAGAGGGGTGATGGGGGAAATGACAGGAACTGATTGGTTGGCTTTGAAGGACTTTTTGGGATATCCTGGGTGTGGCTCCCAGCAAGACAGAGGGTGGGGGCTCTGAAGTGGCAGGCGCCTCCTGGTGGCCTCTGTTCAGTCAGCACCCCAGCAGCCTGGCTCTCTATATCCAGGGACGAAGACGACGCAGCCAGACACGAGAAGGCCCGGCCGGCCCCTCTGGCCAGCAAGACGAGCAACCCCCTCCTCCAGCTGGTCCAGGACCCGACGGTGCCCACCTATAAGCAGGGCGTCCTGGCTCGGAAGATGCATCACGATGCAGACGGCAAGAAGAGTGGGTGCCTGCTGCTGTGTGGGGCCTCTGTGCACGGGGGTGTGCGTGGGACTCTGCTTAGGGGCACCTGCTCATTTGTGCACAGGTTGAGGATAGGCAGCCACATTTCTTCCTCAATGGTGGCCATGTGCCAGATGCTGTGTGAGGTGCCCGCCAGGGGTTGGGGTGCAGACACAGGAGGGGCCTAGTATTCCTGCCCCCAGAGCCCCCAAGGTGAGGCAGGGGCTGAGTGGTGTCAAGAGGCCTAAGTCAGGTATGAGATGTATGGAGGAAGGCAAGGTTTGGGATTGTTTTGGGGGTGGGATGTGTTTGTGGGGGACAGGACGGTTAAGACTTCTGGGAAACGATGGTATCTGAGCTGAACCATGGAAGGTCTGGGTAATTGAAGGTGGGTAGAGGGCATCCCCCACAGAGAGAGGAGTAGGCGCAGTTTGCTCCAGATGTGGGGCATGTAAAAGAGAATGATGCACTTAGGCCAGAACATCCGGATTTGCATTCCGGTCTCATTCACAGACCAGATGGGTAGAGGCTTTAGAGCAGGGCAGCAGGCTTTAGAGCAGGGCAGCAGGTGACTAGAGCAGTCATGAAGTCTCAGAGAAGATGAGTGTGGACACCACCAGGAATCTGGCACCCCTTGGGGCCTGTGCGAACAAGGCAGGCTGAGGGCCAGGCCCTGTGTTACTCCAGACAGGTTCCCAAAGCCGAGATCATCTTGCAAGGGCCAGAATGATTTCTGAGAGGGGCTGTGCTCGTGGGTGGCTGTGTCAGGACAGGGGACAGTCTATCTGAGTGTCATAACTAGTTCCGTGTGTGAGACGTGGTCCTTGCCTATTTGTGACTGCGTGTGCGTGCTTCTTCGTGCTTACGTGCACCTGCAGGGGGAGGGGGCCTGGGTGTCTGAGTGGGGTGCCCCACCCACCTGTGTGTGTTCTCCTGGAGCAGCGCCATGGGGCAAGCGCGGCTGGAAGATGTTCCACACATTGCTGCGAGGAATGGCCCTCTACTTCCTGAAGGTAAGAAGGGAGTGGTCATCTCCTTCCTGATGGGCAGGATGGGGAACCAGGAAGGGCTCGCATGTTTGGGAGGGTGGGCAACTGCTGACACGGTCTTTTTGTGAGCCCTGTACCCTGTGGCAGGGAGAGGACTACGGTCCCGAGGGGCAGATGGTTGACGAGCCTGTGGGAGTGCACCACTCGCTGGCCACCCCGGCCACCTATTACACCAAGAAACCACACGTCTTCCAGCTGCGGACTGCAGACTGGCGCCTCTACCTCTTCCAGGCACCGTGAGTTGGGTTGGGAGACCAGCAGGGGGCCCCAGTTCCCTGTTCCCTGAGCCCTGTTCACCTCTGGCCCTGCTGGCCCTGGGAGCTTAGTTGGGCAACTGGAGGGGGTCTGGGGCTGCACCCCACTTCCCTGCCCGTTGCCCCCTTGGCCCCTGTGTGCTTGCTCCTTGCAAGCCCAGATCAGCTTCCCCGCTGAGAACAGAGGGTTCCAGGAAGTCACTCCCATCGTCATTCTTTGGCATCCGATATACACCTGCCTTCTCAGACTTCCCTCTTTGGTGGATGAGAAAAACCACTGGCAGAAGTCCACCACTCTGCCAGCGGCAGGGCTTCTGGCTCTGGGGGACCTGGGCCTGAGCTGCTGGGACGACCTAGGAGGTGGGGGTGGGGATTGGGGAGTGGGCCAACTCTGGGGCCCTAGGCACCCACTGCCTCTGCGCCTGTAGCACCGCCAAGGAGATGAGCTCCTGGATCGCGCGTATCAACCTGGCCGCTGCTACGCACTCGGCGCCGCCCTTCCCCGCCGCGGTGGGCTCCCAGCGAAGATTCGTGCGGCCCATCCTGCCCGCGGGCCCCGCCCAAAGCTCCCTGGTACGCAGGGCCGCAGAGCGGTGCGTGTGGCGGGTGGGCGGGGTGTGCGCGACCCTAGGACCAGAGCTCGGCCGGGCGCGGGCCGGCGCGGCCCTAGGGGAGGCACTGCTGTGCACGAGTGTCCCTGTCGGCTTCCTCTCTGCCTTGGGCTTGCAGGAGGAGCAGCACCGATCCCACGAGAACTGCTTGGACGCTGCCTCCGACGACCTGTTGGACCTGCAGAGGAACTTACCCGAGGGGCGCAGCCGCAGCCGCGAGCTGGAGGAGTACCGCCTGCGGAAGGAGCATCTGGAGCATGAGGTGAGCATCTATCTGCCTGCAGCCTGCGCCCCCAGGCTGAGAAGTGCCATGGACAGAAAAGGTGTCCTCATGTCCTCGGACCGAGCAGACTTTTGGCTGACACAGTCTCAGGGGACGCCACAGTTATCTTTTCCTCCTAGATGGTATACTTGGCTTTTCCTAAGGTGAAGGAAAAGCTATCTTAGCGAGTTATTCCCATAGTGCCTACCTAATAGTGACAGGGTGTACGCGGGGGACCTGGATTATTTTATAGTTATCCCAGTGGGCTGGGGCAGGGGCTATGATCCTTGTTTCATAGATGAGGAGCCCAAGGCCTAGAGAGAGCAAGGAGCTTGTCCAGTGGTGACTCTGCATGCTCCTTCGGTCATTTACGGCCTTAGCTAAGGAGTGACCATCATTCACTCCTTGAGTGATGCAGAGACTTTTTGAACACACCCCCCTCCCAACTCTGCTTTTGGCCTGACCTGTGCACTGTCTGAGACCTAATCGGGAAGGGTGAGTGAGGGGCAGCGTGACAACAGGGGGGGCAGAGGCCATTCCAAGGCAGATGCCAGAGAAGGGAGCCTCAGTGTTGCCACTGGCTGTGCCCATTGGGCCCTCGCGCTGCCCTCTTCCTTCCTGGCCGTCCCTCTGTCGCATCCATGGCTGTGAGCCCCAGTGTGGCCGATAGGACCCAGCTCTGCCTGCAAAATTCCAGCCCCTCCTCACAGTTGACTAGCAGGACCTTCAGCAGCCACTGGCCCTCATGAGGTCACCTTTCTCTCTTTATAAGCGGAGACAGTGCCCTACCTGACTTCCCAGGCTGGGATGATGACCCACTGGGATGGAGGAGGGAGAACACTGATTGAGCAAACTGCAAACCAGGCCTGGAGGATGTGAGTCACAGAGGCCATAGTGGAGTTGAGCAGACAAGGGGAGGGCATTCGGCACCCTGCTCTGCCACTTGTCACAATGCTGGTCAGTGTGGACAGCCACCTCTGTTCAGGACTCAGACCGGTGGGTCACGGGTCTTCAATGTCTTGGACCTGCTGGTTCCAGCACTCCGCCATGTCGGCAGTCGTGTCGTCACCTTGTCCAGGTTGTGGCAGGGCTGTCACACACTTCACTGTGTCTGACAGAGGCCGTTTGCTCAGGCGCAGTGCAGACACTAGCTATCACCCACCCTCCTTCTGCAGAATCCCTTATCGCTGTAGTTCCCTGCACACGTGAGCGGTCTGTCCTCGCGATTCCAGCCTCCCACCACCTGGAGCCAGGTGGTGCTAAGGTGGGGGTACCTGTGTTGCAGAAAACCCGTTACGAGACATACGTACAGCTGCTGGTGGCCCGTCTGCACTGCCCTGCAGATGACCTGGACCTGTGGGAGGAGCAGCTGGGGAGGGAAGTTGGAGCCACCCAGGGGCCCAAGCCCGGTCTAAAGAAGTCACATTCAAGCCCATCCTTGCACCAGGACGAGGCACCCACCACTGCCAAGGTGAAGCGCAATGTCTCAGAGCGTAGAACCTACCGGAAGGTCATCCCTAAGCGGGGCCGCCAACAGCTGTGAAACAGTTACAAAGAAGACTGGCCCTCTCGGAGTCCCTGGGATGACTCCTGTGGGGAGCCTATCAGTGGCCCACAGTGAGGGCGAGGCCCCTCACCTCTGCTGGAGGACAGGCTCCTGCTCTGAGCTTTGCCAGTACTGCTATGCCCGCCCCTGTGACAGGTCCTCGGCTGCCCTGGTCCCTGGACACTCCTGAGGGGGGCGTGTAGGTCAAGGATTTGGTTACACTCGCAGTTGGTCCTATGCCACTCTCCACCCCTCCAGAAGCCCAAGTGGCCATGGTTCCTGGGCCTTTATTTGAGAATCAGAGTGGTGGGCCCTCGGCTTCCGGGAGAGCCTGGGGCAGCAGAGGCCCTGGAGGAGAGTCAAGTGACCTACTGGTCCAGGCCCTGGGAGATCTCAGCCGGCCTCCTGTGACTGAGGGAGCAAGGTCGCTCAGGCCGCGGAGGGGACAGCCTTCTGGGTAGGGCTCTGGGGCCTGGGCCTTTGTCCCTTTTTCCCTAGACTCATCCCTGCATCCGTGTCCCTGTGCCTGAGGCGGCCAAGAGTGCCTGCCTTTCATGCCCAATTGCTAACCAACAGAGCAAGGCCAATGGCCCGAAAGGGTGGGGACTCCCAGAGCTATGCAGGGAGCCCTGGAACAAGGGGCCTTTGTGTCCCCAGAGCCAGCTGGGCAGGAGGTTCAGACCCCTAGGGAGGCCCGGATCCCTGCCCCACCTCCTTCCTTAAAGCTCCATCCCCAGGATCCTCTGGATCCCTTCCCTTCTGATGGGCTCACAGGCTTCTCTGCCCGCCCCCCGCCTTGAGCTGCCCTCTGGCCGCTCCCAGCTGGGCCTGCCCTGGGGGTGGAGCAGGCAGTCTGGACACTCCCAAACCCGAGGCTGTGCCTGTGGGAAGGGGGCTGGGCTGGAGGAGCAGCCACCATTGTCTCTGTTCACCCAAGTGTGCCCGCAGGCTGCCTGCCAAGAGGGGCCTCTGCTGCTCCCTGCCGCCTGCAGCCTGCTGGCTGGCTGATGGCTGCCTCCACAGCCAGTCTGCGGCCCTCCTCCCAGCTGTGCTTGTAAGCAGCCCTGGGGCCGGAACTGCCCCCAAGTGGGGGCACAAGAAGTGTCTGACCGGGCCTGGGGCTGAGCCAAGCACCCAATGGGTGTGCAGTAAATATGGCCTGTAAAGAAGGAGGTGTGCACGAGTGTGGCAGCTCTGAGCAGCTGGGGACACATGCATGGTTTCGGGCTGCATTCCCCTCTGCCCGGTGGCATACGCATATCTCCGAGTATATATGTGTGTCTGCGTGTGTGTGCGTGTCTGAGTGTATATGTGTGCCTGCGAGTATGTGTGTCTGTGAGTGTGTGCATATGTCTGTGAAGATATGCGTGTCTGCAAATGTACATTTGTGTCTGTGTATGCAAATCTGTGAGTGTGTATCTGTGAGTGTCAATGTTTGCATGTGTGTCTGTGTGCCTGCAGTTGTGTATGCCTATGTTTATATGCATGTCTGTGTATCTGTGTGTGCATGTGTATCTGCGTGTCTCTGTGTCTACATCTGATTGTGTCTGTGTATATGCATGCCTGCGTGTGTGTATGCATTCTTGTGCATGTGTGTAGAACACTGTGTGTTTGTATGTAGGAGTCACACGTTTACAAACTGTCAAAAGCTGGAGGGTACCTCAGAATCATATTCACCAGGTCCTTCATTTACTCACTTCACAAATGATCCAGGCCACTTTTTATGGACCAGTACTCAGGGGTTCAAAACTGAATTGAACATACCCGTGACTTCTCAGAGGTGGCAGTTCTGCCCTGTGGTTCCCAGATGTTAGCAGAGAGACACATTCATCTTGCGGGGAAGGTGAGCTGACACATTCCTGCCTGCGCGCAGGATTTGGATCACTGGTTCTGGGTCTGGGTGTGGATGTGCACTCCTAAAGCCTTCTGGGTAACTGTGCAGTGCAGGCAACAGCACAGCGGAGTCCGATTGTCCGTGTTATTGGGCTGGACATAACTCCGCCCAGTACTGAAGCTTGTAGCTAGATGGTCTTGGGTGGGTTATGGGACCTTACCAAACATGTATTCTAATTTCTAAAACCAGAATAAAAGGCAGAGGTTTGTGTGCATGTGTGCGGGTGTGTAATACTCGGTGCTTCCTTGCTCGTGTGGAACCACACCTCTCTTTCACCTGGGCACAAGAGGCCTGCAGAGCCAGGGCGTGGTGGCTGCCAGGCCTGCTGTGTCTGAGGCCTGGGGGGTGGACAGCTGGTTGGTGGGCTGCAGTCATGACAGGTGGCCGCCAGGTGGCAGGCTTGCATCTCCCTGGCTTCCTGGCCCAGGCGTCCAGCTGCAGCCGGCAAGAAGTCTGTCTTGCCATTGCTAGAACCAGGAATGGCCCAGGCGGGGCCTCCCGCATCCGGACACATCTCTACCAGGCAAAGGGAGGGACTATGGCATCTTCCTGCAGATGACGCTAGAACCAGGAATGGCCCAGGCGGGGCCTCCCTGGTTCTAGCGATGGCAGGACACATCTCTACCATGCAAAGGGAGGGACTATGGCATCTTCCTGCAGATGAGCAGACAGAAATTTCTGGAGCTTGTGGGGCTAGCTTAGAGCGCCTTACAGGATCATCCCAGGTGACCTGCAAAAGTGGAAGCAGCCCCCACCCTGCGTGTGGGGCAGGACGGACCCACAGGCCCACGTCTGATCTTTGTTCTTCCCCACCTTCCTTTCCCATGGGCCGTGGCCCAGGTGGAACCCCAGGTGGAACCACCTGGCCTCTCACATCTCTGCTCCATCTGGCTTTCTGCTGGTGACATCATTCGTCTGTTTACCAGGGAAGAGGGAACGGTCTCTAGGGCTCAGGCCTGGGTCCCTTCCTCTAGGGCCTCAGAGTCAGATGCAGACAACAAGTAAGGGTTGGAAGGAGCTGGGCTGCGGGCAGGGGAGGTGGGGGGAGGCTGCAGAGGAACGGGAGGCTAAGGCCGGGTTGGAAAGGCCCTTGCTTGCAGGCCGGGAGTGTGGTTTCCCAGTGGAAGAGGGACTGGCTCATGGCTTGGGAGACAGCCTGGGGGCCTGGTTTTAAGAAAGTGAAATGGCTTGAGCAAGGCCAACTGGCAGGGTCCGAATGTGGTCTGGAGACCATCTGTGCTGTCTGCAAGACTCTTCTGTAAGTCCACAGAGTGGCCTGGAACCTTAGGATGCCCTGGCGGTCCCACGCCTGGCCCCCTCCTCCCTCACTCCCCACGTGCTCACTCTTACCGTTTCCTGACTGCCACGCTGTCCATGACGGTGCCTCTCCACCACCCTGCTGCCAATGCCTTTGCCTGAGGGCCCCTCACCATTACCCGTGGCTCACGCCTTTACCTGTCCCTTCCTCTTCCTTTCTCCTGCTCCTTCATCTCTGTATTGTGGGGACTGACCCCTGCCCTGAGCCCGCACACCACCGCCCACTTCTCTGCCGCCATGATCTGTCTCCCTCAGGGGTCCCAGCTAGGCCTGTGGGCCTACTCTCTACCTGCTTCATTATCTTACCTTGCGAACACCTTTAGGTATCACTATCATGAAGAAAAAGGTGGCCTTTCCAGCTCTTTTCCTCCCTCACCTGGTTCCTGTTCACACCTTGCAAATTGGCTTCCACCCCACCCTCCCTGAAACACCACCCTCCCTAAGTGCTACTGATCACCCTCAGTGAGTGTCTTCTCAGCCTTGTCCCTCCCCTCTCTGTGGCCCTTGGCCTCACAACCTGCACAAGGCCAGCATGATGAGGTCTTGGCAGCAGGCCCTAGAGTCGACTGCCTGGGCGTGGGTCCCTGCTGTCCCTATGTCTGACCCTGGGCCAGTCTCCTAGCCTCCCATGCTCCAGTTTGCTTTCCTATAAAATGGGATGCTAATCCCGCTTGCTTCAGGGGGATCCTTGGAATCAGGGAAGCATGTAAATATCCAAGAGCACAGCAGGAGAGCTGGCAGGGCCTCTACCCTTTGGGTCCTCTGACACAGAGTCTTCTCCCAGGCTGTGCCACTGCACTTTGCTCTCTAGCCTGGATGCTGCAAGTCACAAGTCTCAACTCAGATGGGCTTTGGCAGGAAAGGACCTTGACTGGCCTCAGTGACTAGGTGGTCTCTGTACAGGTGAGGCTCGCTCCTGGTACCATGATGGCTCAGCAGCTCCCAAGACCCCCTCTTTGAGGGGTGCAAATCCAGCACACAGAGAACATTTGCCCTGTGAGAACTGCAAACTCAAGTCCGAGAGTAGGGCTCCTTTGAGCAGCCTGCCTGGCTCATGTGCCTGTCTCTGAGCCTGCCACTAGGAACAGGGCATCAGGCAGTCGGAGCTCATTTTCTGAGAGGGACTGGGGTGGCTGGAGGCAAACCCACCAAAGCATGGGGACTGGGACCAGCAGCAGAGAAATTGCGAGTTCTCCCAGGAGCTGGAAGGGGCGATGCTCCCTGACATCCAGATGCCGCCTCCTCCAGGAAGCCTTCCTTGAGTCCTCTTCCCCAGCTATTCTCCCTCACAGTGAATCTGTAACTCCCTCCCTCCCCTCGCCTCTCCTCCTTTCCTACTCCCTGCTCCCGGGAGAGTAGGTAGGAAAGGTCGGCTGGTTTCTGCTGCATTCCCAGGGCTTTGTCCAGGGCTGACACCTAGAGTAGAACCATGAGCCTCAAGCCTTACTTTCCTGGCTCCAGCGCGGCCCGTGCTCCTGGCTCTGCTGTCCTGCACGTTTGTTTTCTGTCTTTACTCCTCTCGCTCCTCCCACCCCTGGGCTCAGCCTCCCCATGAGGGGCTGTCTACAAAGCTTAGGGAGCTTCTGGGACCTCTCACAACCTAGCCTGCTGCCCCATCTTCGTTCTGAATTTTAGACCTGGAGCTCTAACCGTCCATGGGACAGGGCCCCTCTGCAAACCCTCCTGGGATGGTCGAGTTGGGACAGGTGCTACTTTCACACCTAGGTCTGAACATAGCGTTGTCTGCTCTGACTCCCATCTGCATTCATGGCCCTGTGACAGTCCGTCCCCTGCTTTGAGAGATGGTGCACCAGGGCGGTGAGCAGAATAGAGCCAAGCGGGCCTTCACCTCCTCTCTGCTGTTTGGTCTCTTTGTCTCCATTTGGTGTGACAGGCAGGGTTGGGAAGTAAATGGACAGAGAAGCGAGGATTCTCTCATCCAGCAAATGAGCCAGGTAAGTGACCAGAGGGCCCTTCACCTGGCCACCAAGACACTTGAGGCCCACAGGCAGTCTCTTGCAGCTGCCCTGGACGCCAGACCCCCCACTTCATGTTGCTTTGTTCCTGACGCTTTGTTTCTCCCTCGGATTTGATTGATTCACTGTGTGCATTTCCTATGAGTTGTCTCAAAACCTCTGTGGAACAAGGTGGGAGAATACATTAATATTTAAAACAAGATAAACAAAATGTCAGTGTGTGTGTCTTAGGCTGGAAATTCCTTAAGGGCAAGGACCATGTCTGTTTGTGCAGCACCTGGCACAGCGTCAAGCTGAGGCCTGACAAGTGAATTTTGATGAAGATGAGAAAGAAGCTGCCCGCATGAAGACACAGAGCTTCAGACCTCACGCTCTCGCTATGCCTCGCCCCAGCCCCCTGGGCTCCTGCCCTACCAGAATCCTCACCCAGTCTTGCTCCTTCCCATGCACGCTCCCAGGACCAGCCTCGGCCTTGCCTATCCTCTGCCCTCTCGTAGACAGCCACAGCCACACCCGCTCAGTGCTGCACCCTGAAACACCTGGCCCACTTTCACCTATCACCCGGCCCCTCAGGCTTGCCCAGGCTGGGCAGCAGCATGGATGTGAGGAGATGCCAGCAGCCGAGCCCTTGGAGGTGCTATCCCCGTGGGGGCCTCTAACCAGGCGGAGACCTGGCAAAGTGGGGAGACGGTATGCTGCTTCAAAACTCCAGATGCGGCAGTTAAAAGAGGACAGAGGCAATGATCCTTCAAATTGCCACATCTGTATAATCTGCCTTTTATTTTCTGCTTCATGAAGTTTTATTTCCTATTATTTATTCACCTCCCCGCCCTCCCCTCACCCGGCTCTGCTTCTCAGCAGGCGACGTGCTCAGATGGGTCTGAGCCTGGGCCTGGGTCTGCGCCCACTCCCAGCTACCCAGGCTGGCTGCCGGGTGGCACCTGCTCCCCTCCGTTATGTTTCCACCCCTGCAGACCCTCTGTCTACCCTCCAAGGAGAGCTGAAGGAAAAGCAGATGGGATAAGGGGTCAGGGCGGTGAGGCCTGTACCCAAGGCCCCACCACTGTCACCACCTCTGGGCCTGAGTTTATGGGAAGGAAGAGCCCAGACCTAGGACTCACAGCCAGCAGGGCCCCCACCTCCCACTTCTTCACCCAGGACCCTCCTCCCTCTTTCCTTCCAGCAACTTGGACCTGAGGTCTGGGGTCTAGGCTGGCCTCAGCTTGGTGAGGGGGCACTGAGATGGGGACAAGGGGGACCAGCCAGATCACACAGGGAGGGGCAGCTCTGGCCTGTTTCAAGGCCCCAGGCTTCCCGTCCCACACTCACTGTTGAGCAAAGCGGTGGCTCTGAGCAAAGCCAGGAGCTCAGCTCCAGCTCCTGTCTGGGCCCAGGCTGGGGAATGCTTGGGAAAAGATGGTACATTTTGCATCTTCTGGTCTCACGCCCTCCTTGTAGCCCCAGAGACACAGGAACATAGAGAAAAGCCCTTTTTCAGGAAGATGGTCCAACTAGTCCCGAGGTTTAGGATCTGCTCTTGGTCCCCAGCAGCTGCTTCTTGGACATGAGGACATGAGAGAGGCGGAGAATGGCCTGGGGGGCCTGAGGGGCTTTGCGAGTGGCATCGACTCTGACAGCACTCATCTCCCCCTTCTATGCCTGTCATTGCTTTGCTACTCCGCTCTCAAGTGACTTTCATGAAAGTCTCGTTTCTAAGCTCAGCGGGGGTTTTGCTTTGCTTCGTTTCTGTGGAGGATGTAATCCGATTGGCTTCGTCTTGTCCCCTAGGTGCCTATCACAGGGTCTGGCACATAGTGGGTAGTTCATGAAAGACTTATAAAAGAATGAATGAATGAACGAGCGTGACTTCTGGTGCCTAGCCTATATGAACTGGCTGGTGAGCTCTGGGGCCTGTGCCAGCCTGGAAGCCTTTGGGTGCCTGGGTACGACTTGTAGCTGAGGCAGCACCCAGGACACCCACCCCCCCAGACAGAGACCGGATCCTGAATGTGAGAACATGGTTCTGGCCTGTGGTGTTGAGTGGAAAATTCCCTGGGGGTTTGGGAGAATGAGGGCTTCATACCTGAACCAGCCAGATGAGGCTGCGTTGCCTTTCACTGACCCAGGTGTTCGGGGTGGACGTCATCCTGGCCAGAGCCTGGCATTTCACAGCTGAGGAAACTCGGGGCCCTGAGGTGTCATCTCTGGGGAGGTCATGGGGCACGTCACCAATCCACTCCTGGCCCAGACTCTTTAGCAGGAGGCAGGGGAAAAGGTGACAATCTGATGGTCTGGCTGCTTATGATGACAGTGACTGACAGGGTCCAATGACCCCCACAGCTCAGCACCTGGAATGGCAGGCAGGGGTACCAGCCCCTCCCTTGACTAGCTGGGCCTCACTCCCCTTCCTCGGTACCTCTTCCCCTTCCGGGCGGTGAGCTTCCATTCAGATGGGCTCATCCCTGCAAACAGCTTCTTCCCTGCTGCTGTAAGGTCCCTGGTGTGGCTGGTAGACTGGGCCTATCTCCCCAGGAGCATATGTGAGAGGGGGGGGTCTCAGCCAGGCCTATGTTAAGCCTACTACCAATGCACCGCTCCCCACCCCCCGCCCCCACAAAGCAAACAAACATAAAACCAGCAAACCAGCGTTTATCTGTAACCGCACAGGCCGTCCCAGGCGTCCCTGGCTTTCTGCGCATGCGTAGCCCTGAGCCGGGGGGCCTGAGCTGGGGGAGGCCTGGGGATCCGGCGCGCTGGGGGCTGGTTCGCTGGTGCTGGTTTGATTTATCCCTAATGAGTTCTCAGCACATGGCTGCTCCGTGCACTCCAGGGGCAGCGCCTCCCGCAGCCCGGCCCGACTCTCAGTAGCGCCGCTGGCTCAGAAAGAGCCAATTTCCACGCTGCACAGTCTGCTTCACTCGCAGGAAATGTCGTGTCCCACCTCCCCCCACCCCACCCCCTGCGGAAGGCGCGGCCGGGCGCCTTGGCTCCCCAGCCTGGCCCGCTGCCACCCTTGTAGATGGAGCAGCTGCCCCCATCCACCCAATGGCCACTTCCCGCCCCCAGAAGGGGCCCCCACCACACATCCTCCCTGCACCCTGCAGCCTCTGTGCGACTGGGCTCTGGCCCTGGGTGCTGACCTACCGCACTGGCCTGGCCTGTGCTTCTAGCCTCCTCCAGGGAGTCCGTATGAGGGGAGGTGGAGGGGTGGGTTTCTGCCACCAGGAGATGACATCCCCAGTGCGGTGTCCCCAGTCTCCCAGGGACCCAGGGGAGGGAAGAAGGTAATAGGACAAGCAGCCAGAGAGAAGGGGATGGAGGGAGGGTGCACCCTGTAGGCACTAAGGCCTCTAGGAAGGTGGTCGAGGGCATGATTGCTTGGGACACAACAGAAGAGGGACTGGGATAAACCAACAGAGGTGAAAACTGGAAGGTGGGAGGTGGGCTGGGGGGATACTCTGTGGGACAGGGACCATGCTTTCACCAGAATTAGCCACTATCAGCCTGGCTTGGTCAGTGCTGCAGAAGGTGACAGGCAACCTGGGCACAACATCAGATGGCAGTGCCTCTCGACTGTAAAGACAACTTGGGGGACTCAGAGGCAAGGATGGTGGGAAACAGGGTCACCCGGCACTCCTCCTGGACCTATGCTGACCTGTGGACTCCACCCAGGACAACTTGCCGCTGGGAGCTGGTGAAAGCGCCCTAGGTGGCCAGTAACTCTGTCCCTCCCCTCAAGGGCCTGAGGCCTCTGCAGAAGCATGGCCGCTTCCAGGTACTGGAGGCCTTAGATGACAGTACTTAGGCTGTGGTCCCAGATCCTCTGAATGACCTTGAAAGTTGCCTCTCACTGTCAGTTTCCCCGGGTGCAAAATGGGGCCAATGTCCAAAGAGGAAAATGGGTGTGGACAAGCTTTACCACGGAAAGACACTGAGGCTACCTGAAGGGCTGTCATGCTCCTGGGGATGAGGAAGGCTGGGAGGGAGCCATACCCCTCCTCCTGCAGGACAGGGATGTCAGAGATGGCCTGCGTGTGTGTGCATGTGTGCATGCATGTGTGTGCATACGTGTCTCTGTATATGCATGCATGCACACATATGTGTATGTGCACACGTGTGTGCATGCATGCCTGTGTGCACGTACACACATGTGTGCATATGTATGCATGTGCATGTGTGTATGCGTCTTTCTGTATTTACATATGTGCATGTGTTTGCATATATGTACGTGTGTGTGTGTGTGGAGGAAGCAAGAGAGGGGAGCCCTCAGCAGGCCCATCTGTTGGCTGTGGCACTAACCCCCCTGCCTCAGTTGTCCCAGGGCTGAGTGTGTCCCTGGTACAGGATGGGCAGGAAGGGGAGTTCTGAACCATGTCACCCGCAGCACAGCCCAAGTCTCTTTGTCATTCAGGGGTTGGAGAGAGCAGGCCAGGGGCACCAGCATTCCGACGTTGCTCTGTGCGCTCCCTGGGTGCCCTGCATCTCCATAAAGGTGACTCTCAGGTGGGGTTCACTGTGGCCCAGAGCCAGATGGGCTGTCTTGGGGCCTTAGGTACAATGGGGGCCAGTCTCCCTCCCGGTTTGTGGCCAGAGGGCAGCCTGTTGTTGAAGGGCAAGCCTCATTTCAGATTGCCCTGGAGACACAGGTACTGGCTCCCTTGTGGGAGGGAACCCCACCCTGTGGCTCTATACCATCTGTGGTAAGTGCCCCTGGCCTCTCTTGCCTCCAGTGTTGGAGCCACTGGATGCTGGGTATGCTGGGGTGAGGACTCCTCTTCTGACTCTGTCCAGCTCTACAGCCTGGCCCCTTGTTACTGGAGTCCCACATAGAGAGATTCCACACAGACATCACATAGCCCCTGGGAGCCAAACACCTTGGTACCTGTCCCCTTGTTCTCTGAAATTTCTAAGGAAGAGGTTGTTCCTGTGGGCTCCCTCCCCCATCTGGGCACTGCCAGCTGGTGCCTCTCCACAGTTCCCCTCCAGCTGCCTGGCCAGGGCCCTGTGCTGTGGGGTTGAGGTGCTAGACTTATGGTAGCAGGATGTGACTGAGCCCAAGCTACCCCTTGGGCAAGCGACTTCATTGTTTCTGAGCCTCAGTCTTTCTACATGTAAAATGGGGACCAACCCCACCTAAACTGGTATGAGGCCTGCACACTGCACCTGGCACAATAGAGCCCAGTAAACATCTTCTCCCTCCCCCATCACACCGCAGGTCATGACTGTTTCTGTGCAACACCATCCCCGCCTTCACCAGACTCCCTACAACTCTCTTAATAGTGACCACTTGGGTGGCCATGATTGGCCCGGGGCTGCGCCCTGTGCTTATGTTATCCTTGCATCTACTAGGAGATGGAGGCGTCCAAGCGCGGAGTCGGTGGTGTGCTGGCGTTCAGTGTGTCGGGGCAGAGGGCTTCTGGGCATTAGATGGCCTGTCTACCCTGGCCCCAAAGTGATAGCCCAGTGCCTCACCCCTTCCCAGACAAGCCCAAGGCCTGAGACAGAGTAATGGTTTATTGAATCGAGTGGCAATGGTGAGTGGTCCTTAATAAAGAAAGAAGCATTAAGGAGAGAAGCCCAACGCGGACAATTTGGTGAGATGCTCAAGTAGATGTGGACAGAGGGGAGCTGGGCCCAGCAGAGCTGCGTCTGCAGTATTTATAGTCAGGCCTAGGGCAGGAGCTGTGGGCTGAGAGGGAGCTGGCATGGCTGGTGGGTGGCTGCAGGTATCCTTGGGTTTAGGGGTTGGGGTCTGGGACTGTGGCAAGGCTATCGGAGGGACACAGATCCCCAGCAACTCGGCCTGCTCTGTGCTGGGCCCTTTGAAGAGTCTGTCTGCAGCTGTGAGGGTCTGGTTTCTGAGACGAGCCGTGGGATGACAGGCAGGGCATGCTGGTGCATGGCAACAGCTGGAAGGCCCCTTGACGGAGACTGGAGCTTGAGATTGATGGGACCCAGAGCTCAGCCCATGGCCAAGACGGGGATGCAGGAGGGGCTTCAGCCGAGGAAGGGACCCTCAGTGGCCGTGGCGCGTGGGTTGTACAGAGTGCTGACAGCCTGGGACTGCTATGGCACATTGTTGGTGGAGCCAGGGAGGCACCCTGGGCCAGGTTGCCATCCCTCTCAAGCGCTTGGTCTCCCCTTGTCTGCATGTCCCTTGTCTGCATCTCTCGGGTGAGACTCTTTTTCCCACAAAGGAATCTTGGAGGACGGGGCCTCTGCAGAGTTGTCTTGCGTTTCATGGGTCTTGAAGCCAACCACACAGGGAGTGACCGTGAGGCTGGACCTGCATGGTCTCTGTGTAATAAATAAAGATTCCTTTCTGTGACTCTCTGGGGCCCGTCCCCGGCTGGGTCCTCCAGCTGCCCCGTGGCCACTACAGGTGGTCAAAGGCTGTGGCGGTGGTGGGTGGTGCGCTTGGCCTTGGCGTGGGACTGTAATAGTAGGGGGAACCTGGACACACCAAAAAATAACAGCATTGCTGGTCAGAGGAGGGTTGTAGCACAGCCGCCTGGCTCCGCAGACCTTGGGACAGTGCGGGTTATTCATCCACCCGGCCCATCTGATCAGCTCCTGGCCCTGGTTCTTCTGCTGCCTCCCCTTTGAGCTTCTGGCCTGAATGAGAAAGTGGCTCTTGCCCCTCCCCCACGATTGCTGTGACCCCCATAACCATGCACACTGGGGGACCGTTGGGGGTTCCCCAGCTTTCCCCGAATGGTGCGAGGGCACAGAATCTTCCTTCTCAGAGCCAAAGGATTTGGCATCTGATGGTCAAGGGGCCAGGGTTTGAGGGCCCCGTGGACGTAGGAGGACCCTGAAGCCTGTCTGCCTCCAAGCCAACCCTCAGGGTGGTGGTGGAGCAGGGGTCTTCTGCTGCGTCATGAGCACTTATCACTCCTTAGGTGGCCCATGTGTGCACATGGCACACTCCCAGGCAGGGGACAGAGGGCACCCGCAGATGTCTGCTGCTGCTGGACAGCCAGCCCCTGAAGGCAGGGCATCCACCCTGAGATTTCCTATCTACCTGGGCCTCCGGAGGCCTGAGCCCTGGTCCATCTCAGAACAAGATCTTGTAGACGTGGCAGCAGGAGGGAGAAGGTGCAGGGACGTCTCTCTAAAATTCCCTGAACACAGGACGACCTGATCTGGTGCACCACCTTCTGGCCAGGTGACCCCACTCGTGACCCTGTCTCCCAGACCCTCGCCTAACTGGCCGCCCAGCCTCATACCCCAGCGCCCTGCATAGCAGAGGGCTACCCCAGGACTTACTCAGCAGGCTGGAGTTGGGGAAGCGCCAGGCCTCCCCGTAGGTGGAGTAGGGGGTGTGGCCGTAGGCGTTGCCAGAATAGTCGCTTCCTGTTGGGGACATAAGGGTGAGAGGTAAGGTGGGCGTCAAAATGGTGCCTGGGTAGAGGACAGGGCTGTGCGGGGCTGACGAGTCAAGCAAATAACACCCGAGGAGCCAAGGCAGCCTGATGGGAGCTCAGAAGGCCCCCGCAGCCCTCAGGCCCTTCATCAGCACACCTTGGGCAGTGCCCTTCCTGCCAGGTACCGCAGGCCCTGTCCTCAGGAACCCAGAGGAACCCAGAGGTGGATGTCACTGTATTCCCCAGGTAAAGGACAGGCCGGGGACCTGTGGATTCTGTGACCCCAGGGCCCATGCCTTAAGCACTGCTACTGTGGCCTGGGCCTTCTGCAGAGGGGCCAGGGCCAGGGGACTCTGTGGAAGGAACCACTCAGTGTGCAGTCTCTTCACCCACCCCGCCCCCCGTATGTCTGTTAGGGAGGAGTGGGGAGGCGCTGGGGGTGGGGGCTGCCGGGAACCTGTCCTGGGACTTGGCTGAGGGCTTTGTTGTCCTGTCCCAACTCTGCCACTTCAAGCAAACTCAGTGTGTGAATTTACACAAAACAAGTCAGATCGCTTCTTTCTGTGACTGGATTCTGGCATCACTGAAGAATTATTTTCCAAAGAAATGACTTAAGAATGCCCTTAAATAGCCACGGGGTCAGGTAGGCATGACCACTGTGCCCCTGCTGTCGCAGCCCTCCCGTGAAGCGTACAGAGAGGGGCGGGCAGAGCACGTCCAGGTGGACCAGGTCACACTGTAGGCAGCAGAGCAGAGCCACCTTAAGCCTCTTGGCTCTGAGTTCCAGGTTCCAACCCTGGTCCCACCGGTGTCCATGCTGCCTTTCAGAAACTCATGCTCTTGGGAGCTGAGTGCCCCTGTGGCACTGTGGCCTGAAACTGCCTGGCCACTTCCTGGCTGTGTCACATTGGGCAAGTCACTTCACTCCTCTGAGCCTTGGTTTCCTCATCTGTAGGAAGGGACAAATGGTTCGTGAGGGCTGAGTTAGATGATGCACATTAAATATTTGGCACCATGCTTGCTGTGCAAGAAACAGTCAAGGAGTGCTGGCCTTTCTTCTTTTCCCATTAAGCAGGTGCCAGAATGCAATGTTAAAGCCTGGGTTGGGGTTGGAGGGGCTGCTTCCTGACCTGGGAAGGAGGCACTTGTGCAGGAGTGGGTGGGAGTGAGGAGGGGAAGGGGGAGGGGAGGACGCCAGGGCAGGAACAGAGCAGGTCCCTGAACTCAACTTGGGCTCACAAAACAAATGTGTAAAAGAGAGGAGGGAGGGAGGAAAAAGCAAAGAAAGAAAGAAATGATCTGACCCAACCACTGGTTTCCCAAATGAAGAGCCTGCTAAGCACAGAGGGAATGACAGCCCAAGGCCACGTCTGCACTGAGAGCCAGCCAAAACCCCCCAGCTCCTACTCCAGCTCTTTCCCCACAATGCGAACTGCCCCATGTAGCCCAGACCTCCCTGGTTTACTACATCCATGGAGGAAACCAGTCTGCCCTGTGCCGCATGCCTGTGCCCCACCCAGAGCCAATGCCACTTGCTCTAAGGGACAAAGAAGAGAGACAGAAATGGGGTGTGTGTGCCCTCTGGTTTTGCCACTTATTCACTCACTCTCGAACACATGAACACACGTCTGCTTCAGTCACAGAGAAGCTGGGGTAGGGGCGGGCGGGACTTGATAGGCAGTATAGCACCTTCCCACACCTGTCCTGTGGGTGTCCCCATACACAGGAAAGGCGTGCCCTTGCTGCTCTGTTCCAAGAACTTGGCTCTGAGCCTGGATCCCTGCTCCTCTCCGTTAACTCTGTCTCTTCCTTTCTAGCCCATCACTCCCTTCAGCCAGCAAACGCTTCCTGTTATCCCCACATTAAAAAACCCTCTCCCTAAGCCCCCACCCCTCTCAGCTGCCAGCATCTATCTCTGCTGCATGGTTGCTGCCTTTACCTCCTCACGCCCCTGTGTCAGGCTGATGGCCCAAATCCCCATAGCCTCTACCCGGTCATTCCAGTGGCCACTTCTGTGTCCACCACCCTGAATCTCTTAGTGACTTTGACTTGCCCACCATGCCCTCTCCAGGACCGCATCCTGACCCCCTGGCCTCTCCTCCTCACTCTCCTTCTGGCTTCCTCCCTGCGAGAATTCCAAGTGCTAAAGAGCCTGGCTGTGGTGTGTGAGCTTTCTGTGATTCTCACCCACATTCTTTTTGCCGATCTTGTCTAACTCTTCACATTCAATAACAGCTCTGAACAGAGGCTGAAATGTGTGCCCTCACTTGGGACTCTTGACTTGGGACACATGCCATGCCTGCTGACTTACTAAACTGGGTACAGAGGAGGTGTCTCAAGCCTAACCTGGCCCAAAACGACTCTTGATTTCTACCTTCCACACACTCTACCTCTCTCTCTCCTAGTCTCCCCCACTTGCACTTGCCACCACCACCCATGCATTTTCCCAAGCCCCAAACCTAGGTGTCATCCTCGTTCCTCTTTTTTTGAATGCCTATAGCCAATTCACCAGCAAGTGTTGTTGGCAATGGATAGAAGGATGAATGGATTGGTGGATGATAGGTGGATGGATAAATGGATGATGGAAGGATGGATGATATGTATGGATGTATGAAAATGTGCGTAAAGATAGATGAATGGATGGATGAGTGGATGGGTGGGTGGGTGGATGAATGGATAGATGGGTGGGTGGTGGGTGGATGGATGGGTTGGTGGATGGATGGGTGGGTGGATGGATCAAGCTATCTGGAGCTGTTGGTTCAGCTCCAGAACAGGTGTGAGAGTGTTAGTGGGGCAGGAACAACAACAACAATAATTAGAAGGCAAAGCCGAAGTCTGTGTCCTGTCCTGTTCCGGGCTGCTCTCCTAGAGCTGGCGTCTTTGTGTCCGGTGTGGTGGGTGGCAGAAAGAGCCCTAGGTGTGAAATCAATATACTAACTCAGCCAGTTAGTGCGGCTATGGCCCTGAGCACACAACTCTGCTTTCCTAAGCTTGTTTTCTTATCTTTATAAAACTAGGATAATACTAGCTCCCCAAGCACATGGGAATGGTAAATAAGAAATAAAGTTACATCTGTGGATAGCCAGGAACACAAAAGGACCTAATAAATGATCTCTTCCTTCCTTCCGTGACTGACTAAAGACTGTCATTGGCATACGTTGCTTGGAGCATTTATTATGTACGTAGCACATAATAGGTGCTCAATGAAGGTTTATTGATCTAGTGGAAAGAATCCCCATTCAGTCAACCGGGAGATTGTGCCACTGGCAAGAGATGGACAAATAATTTTTCTATGAAAAAAACTCCTTAAGAATTCTTCTGCACCATGGAGTTCCTAGGAACCGGGTGAAACACTTCAGTAGTACTACATTTTCTGAAGACAAATTTGTATGTAACTTATCGAGAGCCAACCCACCACACAAAGCAGGGCCCCTTCCTTTTGCAACCCACTTGCAGTGGATGGTGTGGCTGTGCCATTTTTCTTGACACCCACTCAGGGTGAAGTCATTCTGGAAACAACCTGGGGGCCTTTGATGAAAGGCCCAGGTCTCTCAGCTACCCCATGTTTCGACTTTGACCCCCCAGAACCCCTTGCCCTGGGCCTGCTCCCGGGATGATACGTAATTAAGAGAGGAGCTGGGCTTTATGTTTCTTCCTCCCCTCTAAGCAGGCGGCAAGGAAAGGTGGAGAGGTTGGAAGGGGGATGGGGGAGCTGACTGGAGCCTGGGATTTTGATTGAGAGGCCCCATTATCCACACTCTTAAAAAAATAACCGAATCTTTTCCTTTTTTATCTTGACCAATCTCATTTCACGCTCCAGGAGAGGAAGGGAGGGAGGCAGAGAGTGGGGCCAGGAGGGAGAGAGAGGAGTCAGTATTCTGTATTTTCAACGCTGCATTAAGC